CCGAGCCCGAGCCCGAGCCCGAGCCCGAGCCCGAGCCCGAGAGCCCGAGCACGAGCCCGAGCCCGGGCCTGACCTGAGCCCGAGCCCGAGCCCGGGCCCAAGCCCGAGCCCGAGCCCGGGCCCGAGCCCGAGCCAAAACTCGAGGTCGAGCTCGAACCCGAGCACGAGCCCGAGCCCAAGCCCGAGCCCGAGCCCAAGAGCCCGAGCCCGAGCCCGAGCCCGGGCCCCAGCCCGAGCCCGAGCCCGAGCCCGGGCCCGCGCCCGAGCCCGAGCCCGAGCCCGAGCCCGAGCCCGCGCCCGCGCCCGAGCCCGAGCCCGAGCCCGAGCCCGCCCCGAAAGCCCGAGCCCGAGCCCGAGCCGGAAACCCGAGCCCGAGCCCGAGCCCGAGCCCGAGCCCGAGCCCGAGCCCGAGCCCGAGCCCGAGAGCCCGAGCCCGAGCCCGAGCCCAAGCCCGAGCCCGAGCCCGAGCCCGAGCCCGAGCCCAAGACCAAGCGGGCTCGAGCCCGAGCCCGAGCCCGAGCCCGAGCCCGAGCCCGAGCCCGAGCCCATGCCCGAGCGGGCTCGAGCCCGAGCTCGAGCCCAAGCCCGAGCACGAGCCCGAGCCCGAGCCCGAGCCCGAGCCCGAGCCCGAGCCTTATATTACCCGATGACCGCTAGTCTGCAAAACAATAATTATATAAAAAATACTCTAAAAATATAGGAGGGGGGGGAACGCCTATGCTGAATACTCAAAAAATATTCTAAACATACATCATAAAACCCATGTTTTCCAATCGCCCCACGCATTGTGCGAGCGATGAACCTTTTCGGGGCAGAGTGCAGCAGTAATCGTAAGAAGTGGATAAGGCCACTTCGAATGTGTTTGTGTTATTGTTCCAGGTGCTACCGAAACACCTCCCCAAACGGGTGCAATCGTGCACGGTGGGATCTTGCGCTGGAGGATTTCGGAAAACAAGAAATAAACTAAACCGATCTAGTCTTTCAAGAGGGGCCCAGAGCCCAGAGGCCCGAAGTGACAGCAAAAACACTGGCCCCACAGAGCCGAAGCCCTGACACCGTAGCGTCCGCGGGCTGCAACCCCAGAGAAAACCTGTACACCAATCCCCGATGCCCAAATCACGCTACCAGAGGCCGCAAGGAATCCCCCATTGAAATACTGGCCGCGGCTTTTCACGCCGAGGCCCGTCACCCAGCGCCCCGCGCCGAAGTGCAAATCCAGCGCGGGGCCCCAAGACCGAGGCCCTTAACGAAACACAGTGGGCTCCAAGATCCGAGTCCTAATCGGCCGCGCCCCATACAGATCAACAGAAACCACCTGCAAGTGGCCAATCCGACGCCGAACTCCGACCCATTGCTCCAAGACCCTTGGGCGAGGGGCAGGCGGAGAAGGGCGACAGCCCACGAATACGAAGGACACACACACACACTGGGAAGCAAGGGCATGCTGTGTAACCATCAAGAGCATACATATGAATAGACATTCTCGCGCACCGCACCTGATCAGGCAGACCTCAGGGGCAGCGCCCCCCTTCCTCGAGACAGGGGGGCACGAACAAATCACAGATACTATTTCCCAACACTGGCGCAGGCAGTGTTACATCCACAGATCCTGTCTCACCCTTCGGCACGCGGCCCCGCGCCGCGGCCGTGCGCGACCGTGCCCCATCGTGGGCGGGCTCGTGACGCAGCGCTGGTCGACACGCTGCGGGGGCGCGGGCCTGTCGTCGCAGGCCCTGGTACTCACTAAAGTTCAGCAGGGTCGAAGGCAAACTGATTCAGCACTCGATCACCGCATCTTGAGCGCATCCTTGTACCGCGACACCACGACGCGCGGCAGCGACTCAGGCTGGATGCCGAACTTCCTGAGCTTGGACTGGGTATTCATGCAGCTGTTGCGCATGGCTATCTTGTTACCTTGGAGCGACTCCGTGCCGAACGCCTTCAGGAGCTCTGCGCTCATGCAGAGCGCGCGGATGACCACGATCTCCTCGGTGATGCCTGCGGTCGCCTCGGTGGAGTAGCTTGGCAGCGAGTACTCTGTCGCCTTGCCCGCCACTATCGTCAAGGCCCCCTCGATGGTGCACGTCTGGTCGAGCCACTCGTTGACGGGCGCCTCGTGCAGACCGAGGCGGTAGAGGTCGAGCGCGGCATTGAGAGTCGTACAATTGTCGCACTCCTTCTTGAACTCAGCGACGCCAGCCGCCTCCTCAGCGCTCTTCTTCAGGCTCGTGGAGTCCAGCCTTGTCTTCTCGCACAGGGCGCCGACGATCTTCGCCCCGACCCTCTGGACAAGGTCGCTCGCAGAGTTCACGGCGTCAGCCACCTGCAGCGAAGCGCGAACGTGAAATTTCTCAAGGGCAGTGCTGCGGGCGTTGTGGTTCGCTTTCTGGACGGCCCGAGTCAACTCCCTGGCGCGGCGCTCGACGTCGGCAGGCGTAGCATCCTGCAAACCCTCCCCCACGCGGTGCTCCGCCTGCGCGAGCGTTGTCTGGACGCGCGCCACGCGCCAGGCAGCGCCCAGCCACGCTGCCACGCCCGTTGAAGCATCCACCGATGAACACGGCACGTTCGGCGCTAAGAGCTCCAAGACTTCAAACAGGAAGCCTTCTTTCGTAGTCCAGTCGGCCCCGTCCTTGAAGAGGTCGACAATGATGGAGGTGAACAACGAGTTGCAAGACTCCTGCAGCTTCTCGGGCAGGGCCTTCATGCGACAGCTGTGTAACGCATCCTTCAGACGGTGAGTCAACTCCTTATCACCATCATTCCACGTGGTCAACGCATCTGCTAACATCTCGTGCTTCACGCCGAGGTCCATGGCCGCTATCTTGGACTGGAGCGCACGAGAGCAGCGCTCCACTTGCTCGTCCGCCGCGAACACGTTGGACAAGTCCTTGAACAACTCCTTGTAAGCGATCGTCACCGCCGTCGTCTGGGCGCCGCCCTCCGTGCCGATGTCGCCGTTGCCCTATGGGGTGGGGCAATGGGCCCACCTGCGCTCCCACGTCCAACCCTATCGGTGTGCACTACTAGCTGTTAGTCAGTAGTCGCTAGTCCTAGCTACTGGTACCCCTTAGACACACCGACGGGGGTTGGACATAGGAGTGCAAGTGGGCGTATTGCACCACCCCCGAACCTCGCCATCAGAAGTGAGCGCCTTGCACTGCAAAATGGACCTGTTGAGGACCATGGCCTTGCACTCGTCAGCGCAGCCCGTGTACATGGCGGCCTCCCAGTACGGTACGTCGTCCACGATGCGCTTGAGCAGCTTGGCACGCTGCTCCGACGGGTTAGCGTCCATCCGCTCCAGCTCGGCGATGGCCGACTTCACATGGCCGCCGTTCTTCGTGACTGCATCTGCGTGCTCCGTCATCCACTTCAACTTCTTAGCCCAGAAGTCGTTGGCGCTCGTCAGGAGCGCCTGGCCCACGAGCTAATGCACGCTCTGCTGTCCAGTGGTGCGTCGGCCCTCAGCTTCCAAGCGCCCTGCGTCCACGTACACCTGCATGTCAGTGTCCGCTGCCAAGGGCGTCGCCTGCATCGCTGTCAGCACTCGGATCGCCGAAGTCATCTCGAGGTAAACTGAAGCAGAGTGGTCGCCGAGCTCCGCGTCTTCGGGCAATGATGCGAGGACGAGGTCCGCTGCCTCGCAGTAGAGCTTGACGTTGTCAGCCGCGCTGGGGCCTGCCGTGAGCCACTCTGCGATGGCATCTGCGACGGCGATCTCCAGGAAGGTGTTCGCGACGTCGGCGTCGGACGTGCACCCATCGACCAAGCACACTGCACACGGGTTCGCCACATCCCGAGGTTTGGCGGTGAAGCCCCACGGCCGACACCGCTCCATGAAACCGACCAGCAACTGCTTCATCTTGTCCGTGTCCAGGTCGGCCTTGTTGATGTCCTGCCAAGCGTTCATGGCAGTCCTCCTGGCCAATGCCTTCACAGCCCGTTGCGTGAGCGTGGCGCCCGCTTTTCGTAGGACTTCCCATGAGGCCATCAGCTCCCCGTCTGGCACCTTCGCCACAGCCTTCTCGTCGAACAGCTTCGCCTTGTTGTAGAGCTCCAGGTGGGTCTGCAGCGTGCGGCGCTCCGTGCCCGTGAGCTTCTGGACGAGTTGTCTAGCTTGGTTCTCGGCTCTCCCATTCTTATGGCCGTTGAAGGCCCCCTCGAATGCCAGCTCCCAGACCCAGTAGTCCACTGTGCCGAGCGTGTGCGGGTTCTGCCTCTCGGGCTCGTAACTGCCGGTGGGCGCCGCGGCCGTCCTTGAAGATTTCAAAGGCTTACCACCCATGTCACGCGGCGACATTGACGGCTGCCTCTTCACTGCGCTGCCAAGCTGATGATCGATGGAGTCGGCTCTGGAGGAAGCGGCCCCAGTGCACTCAGCCGCAGCATCTGGGTCGAAGGGATGCACGCTGCTCGAGGCCGCATCCTCAAACTCAATCACCTCGATGTCATCGCCCCCTCCGTCGTCGTCGTCCTGCTCGCCGATCTTCGATCCAGCGCGGGCCCTCTTGGCGTTCTTCTCCGCTATCCTGTCAGCGCGGTCCCGCACCTCGGCCCACGTCGCGATGGACGAGCGCGCGCCAGGCGTGAGGTCGAGGTTGATCTCGCCACCCTGGCCCGCAGTAGTAGCACCAAACAACACGGTAGACTGGTTCTCGAACAGCTCTTGGGCATCTCGCCTGAGGAAGCCGACGCTGGCCACGGTGCTACTGCGGTGGCACAGCTTGAATGTTGGAGACTTGCCTCTCGACTCGGGGCAGGCCTTCACCAAGTAGACGGTAAACGAGGTCGGCCGAGATGGAATCTCAACTGGTTTGATGTGTAGTGCTTTTGCCGTTCTCACGAACTCCCGCTCCACGTCTTTGGCCGTCAGCGCAGCGCACTTCACGTAGAGCTCGAAGCCGCAGTCGACGGAGTCGCCTAGGTTGAGCGTCCTGGGAGGCGTCCTCGTTGGTTGCTTCTGAGCTGGCGTCTCACCCTGCTGACATAAATCCCGCAACTGCCCTGCCTCTTGAGCTGCGACCAACCCTGACCAGGACAGCACAGGTGCGTTCTCCAGGAGCCACGTCAGGCACTCGACGCAAGCCACCTCCCCCTCCTCCAGGTGCGCGGCCAGCTCACAGCCGTTCTGGACAATCCCTGTGTCCTAGGTGACAAACAACACGACAACCCTCTGAACCCGAACGCCTCTATCGTTCACCCCGCTCGGAGCCTCAAAGCGGGGCCGTTTCAAACTCATGCCCAAAAGCGGTGCGCCTAGGACTACAAAGGGCACTCGGCCCTTGAAACCCCGAACGCCTCACCGCAACATTGTTCGGACCACGACAGACGCGGCCAACGGGGGGCCAGCGGTCCAGGGTGCCAGGACACAGGGACACGGATGAGAAGTGTAGTGCTTGTTGGCCCTCAGTCCCTGTCGGTGCGCTGGCACAGATCGCAAGTGCTGACCGCGCCGCTGCCTCCCCCGCGGCCCTGCCGCGACCTGCCGCGGCCGCCTCTCGCAGCGCCGCGGCCGGCGGTCGAGGGCCCTCGGGCCGGCGCCTGTGACTTGCGCCCCGTGGCCATGGGCTGCTGCGAAGGCGTCGAAGAGGAAAAAAAAAAGAAAGAAAGAGAAAAAAAAAAAAAAAACAAAAAAAAAAAAAGAACAACAAAAAAAAAAAAAAAAAAAAAAAAAAAAAAAAAAAAAAAAAAAAAAAAAAAAAAAAAAAAAAAAAAAAAAAAAAAAAAAAACTTGATACAGCGCAGCAGCGAATGCAAAAGTAAGACGAACAAGTACCCGTCATGGCAGCCACTTGGAGCGATTATGACCAGACCATGTGCGGGGGTCACTCGGGGCCCAATCTCGGGGGTCACTCGGGGCCCTAGTCTCCAATAATATTCGTCTACGTGCGGTGCGACTGCGACGCTACTCTCGAGTGCCCTGCTGCCTCGGGATTCGCGGGGCCCACCAGCGTGCGGGCAACGAGCGCCACAGCAAAGGCCAGGAGAGCGCTTCCGACTAGATGACCAGATGCTAGACATACCTAGTTACACCCAATTACAACCAGCTTCACCCAGCTACACACAGTTACACTCAGCTGCACACAGTAGTAACGCATAGTTGCACCCATTTTCACCCAGTTGCACACTGCTCCGCCCAGTTACACCCAGTTACACATAGTTACAAGTTACACCCAGTTACACCCAGTTACACCTAGTCCCTAGTCCCTAGCCACACGCAGTTCAATCGATATTCGCCGAACTGCCGCACGTTTGAGTCTGATCCTACCAACACGCTTCGCACAAATACGCCATGCTGCCATTAACCTGAATGGGGTTGCAGGCGCACCTCACCGTGGAAAACTCTCAAACAGGAAATTCTGTACAAAACAAGCTTGTTGTACAGAATTTCCATCTGGCCTCTGTCGTACCGCAAAAAGCGAGACGTCGATCGTCTACCTTCGTCAATACCCCAGTTCGAGATGACGATGGCGACGATGGCGACGGCGAAGACGATGATGCTGGCCGTGGCGACGATGGCGACGATGGCGACGGCGGTGATGGTGATGGTGGTGGCGATGGCGAGGGCGATGGTGGTGGTGACGGCGACGACGATGATGATGGTCATGGTGGTGATGATAATGATGATGCTGATGCTAACGAGGATGACGATGACGATGCCGACGACGGTGCTGACGACGACGGTGGCGGCGATGCCGATGGTAATGATGATGGTGTTGGTGACGATTACGACGATGATGGCACGGAAGGCTGCGACGACGGCGAAGATGCAGATGATGATGACGAGCATGACTTTGAGCTTGGCGATGGAGACGGCGATACTGACGATGACGACGACGATGCTAACGGCGATGGCGGCGGCTAGGGGCTAGGACGATGACGACGACGACGACTAAGATGACGCGGTGATGGGGAAAAGGGAAGTGATGACGATGACGAGGCAAATGACGAATTGGCAAGACGACGATGACGACGCCGATGGTTATGATGAGAATGGTGATGATACGGATGATGATGGTGATGATGGCGATGGTGACGTTGACGATTGCGACGACGATGATAGCGACAACGGCGACGACGACAATCACGATGACGTTGACGATGACACGGGGGAAATGCTTGGCAAACTTAGTGTTGCATCACATGTCCCCTTTCGGGTTTCCCACGGGGCGCGGCGCCTGCAGTCCCGCCCACGTGACCGCAGCATGACGACCGTGACAACTCGACAGGAAGACGATGACGACGACGATGGCGGTGCTGATGCTGGTGGTGATGACAATGGCGACAGCGACAATGATGATGGCGGTGTTGGCGATGATGGCGATGATGGGGGCGAAGAAGATGACGATGATCGGGGCGCCAATGACGACGGTGACGACGCCGACGATGACGACAACGACGCCGGGGCACCTAAGCTCGCATTGTCCCTCTACTGGGCCTCTTTTGGGCGCCTTTTGGTGGCCTTGCGGGGGCGTAGTGGAGGTTCGCTGGGCTCTGCCTAGCTCGGGCGTCGGATGTCCTGGAGACGACGCGGGGCGTCTGGGGCTTCATTGCAGGTGCCCTTTCAGCACCTAGTTAACATAAGAGGCTGCCCCCGCGCGCCCTGGGCGGGCCGCTCGGGAGGCGGAGGTTGGAGGGGCACGGGAGGGGAGGGGGCGAGGAGGATGGGCAGGAGTAGGAGGAAGACGACGGCGGCGAAGGTGGCGAGCTGGTCGGACGACGATGACAGCGACGACGGTGGCTATGATGATGCGCATGGATGGTCCATGTGATAGTGATTGTGGTGGTGGCGTTGATGGTGACGACGGTGGCAACTGCGTTAATGATGATGATGATGCGGACGAGGAGGAGGCGGATGGCCATGACTGCGACGGCGGCGGCGACGCTGACGATTGCGACTATAACGACGAGAACGATGATGGCGACGGAAAGAACGGCGACGACGAGCACGGCGCCGATGACGACGACGACGATGACGAGGCCTGTGACGACGATGACGAGAGTGAAGTCATGAGGAGGAGGAGGAGGAGGAGGAGGGTGACTATGACGATGACGACGCAGACGACGAGGTTGTAGGACGTCGACGACCACGCCGATGGCGATGATTATGATGATGCAGATGATGGCAATGACTGTGGTGGTTGTTGTGCTGATGAAGATGACGCTGGCGACGCCGACGGCGATGCCGACGAGGACGGTGGCGATCGCAATCGCGATTCTGTTGGCGATAGGGGCCATGGCTGTGCCGACGAGGATGCGGTGGTGATTCGGGGGAAGACGGCGGCGAAGCTACTGACGACGCAAGTGGCGAGTTGGCAGAATGCCGATGGCGACGACGTCGATGGCGGGGGCGATGCCGACGACGATGTTGGTGACGACGGCGGGGACGACGACGACGACGACGGCGCCGAACCTTTGGAGGCGTCGCTTTCAAGGGCGTTGAGCGCGACACCTCGCAGGGCCCTCTCGGGGCCCCCATTGGACACCCTCTGTGCCTTTTCATTTAATATGCCACAGATGGGCGAGCACCAAGGGGCCCCCAAGGGGGCGCAAGGGGGGCTAGATTACACCGCTGGCTTGAAATAACAAGGCTCATGTCTATATGTTGTGCCTCTCTGGGGAGGAGGAGGGGGGGGCGTTCTGGTGAGCTCGTGGGCCCTCTCGGGGCAATCTTTTAGTTATCCAGGTGCCCTTCGGAGGCCCTCTCGCCCCCCCCCCCCCCGAGGCTTCGGGAAGGCTTGGGGCGACCCCTTGGCGATTCAATTTCACTGGCGTTCAACGCGGCACCTCGAATGGCACCCTGGGCACCCTCGCAAGGCCGTCTCGGAGCTCTCCTGTGGCCCTTCGAGAGCCCCCATCGGGCTCCTTTCGGTGATCCGCGCGGGCTTCGTACGATCCCTTAGGGGGGCGATGCGTTCACGGGCGTTGAACGCGACACCTCGGCATGCCCTCTTGGAACCTTCTCGGTGCTGCCGCGGCGCGTTCTCGGCGTTCTTTGGTGCCCTCGCTGGGGTCCTCCATGGGCTCATGGGAGTGCTTCCAGCGATCCGTTAGAAGTCTCATTGCGCGGGCGTTTGAAGTGACACCTCGGATGCCCCTCGCGGGGCCCTCTCGGGGCTTACCCATGCTCTTTCGAAGCCCTCGCGCTGCGTTGTTTTCCGTTTTTGCTATGGGCCCGCTGCTGCCTTGGGGTGGGCCCAAGGCGAGCAAACCTACGCAGCTGGTTTAGCACAGCTCATCATGGCTCCTGCTGCGCGTTCTCGGTGGCCTCTTGGGGCATTAGTGGGCGCTCTCGGGGCGGCCTGCTGACTGCCTCGGGCCCTCTCTGCGCCCCGATCGGGCTCCGATCGTTTTTTTTTTCGGGCGGGCTTCGGGCGACCCCGCTGCGGCGCCACTTTCACGGGCGTCGACAGTGACGCCTCGAAGGGCCTTCTCGGCACCCCCCTGGGCGCGGTCTTGGGGCTTTCTCTGGAGCTCAAGGGGTCGAAAACCTCGCCGTCGATTGGTTTCCAGGCGCGCACCCTGACGGACTGCACCCGCCTGCGCTTGCATGTTCGCCATAATTCGTGCGACCCGAGCTGTTCGGTGGGGCTGCGCCAAACCACATGGATGGCAACAGGCGCTGCTGGGGGCGCTCGCACAGGCGACCCCGAGTGGAGGGGGGATGGAGCGGGCGCGGAGAAGGAGGAGAGAGAGGGCGGCCATCTTCTCTGCCATTGGGCACCACGCCCAGCGGCGCTGAGTGGCGCTGCATGGCGCACGCCACCAACGCGACTCCTTCAACGCGCGCTTCCAACCCGCGGCGGCGCTCGCTTGGGCTACATTGGGCGACATTGGCGGCGCCATTGGCTTCAAATGCGCGGCGGATGTCCGCCCCAACTGCTGATTATGCAGGGAAGTCGCGGGTGCGCGCTTGGTGGCTTTGCGATTCCCGCTGTTGCCTCGCTCGGGTCAAGGCGCGCCATGTTGTCTCATGTTGGTGGCCGTCTTGAGCTACCGATACCATCCGAAGTCCGATTGGGCTATTCCTGGTGCTTCGGGGTGGCTTCAAGCGGCCCCTCGGAGACGTCGCTTTCGCTGGCGTCGAACGCGACGCCCCGAAATGGCCCTCTCGCGACCCTCTTGGCGCCGCCCTGGGGCTTGCAT